AGGGGAAGATCACGGCAGCTACTGGCCTGACCAATTCTGGCTCCAAGCGGCCAGGTGGGGAGAGGAGGTGGTTATTGTTGCTTGGTGCTGACAAGGATAAGGAGGAGGGGAAGATCATGGCAGCTACTGGCCTGACCAATTCTGGCTCCAAGCAGCTGCAGTTGCGGTGATTCTTGAAAACGGCATTCCCAATGCCAGCAACCAGGTGAGGAGAGGTGCTGGATACGACACCAGCCAACATGATGAGGAGAAGGCTTTTGAGTCAAAGTTGGTCAGCCCAGGCCAGTAGGTGCGAGGAGGATACGACACCAACCAACATGATGAGGAGAAGGGGAAGGAGGGGAAGGTGAAAGCCATTGGGCTCACTAGCTCTGATACCCCAGCCCAGGGAGTGAGAGGCGCCTCCACTCCACCCATGTGCTGTTGTGATGTGAGTGCATGCCCATATAAGAGAATAGCATGGTTGAGGGACATGTGCTCGCAGCAGCACATGGGTGGAGGCACCTCCTCCCTCCCTTCGCCCAGCCACCCTATCCCCTTGTATAGTATTCAAACCTATCCCCCTCTGCCCTCGTTACTCCAGTGCCCCCTGTGGTTCATACCGCAGGTGCAGCACAGCCTAGTGGACATGCGTCCGCAGCACAGTCTAGTGGGCATGCGTCCGCAGCAGCAGATGGGTTGAGGCGATTCCTCCTTTCCCCAGTCCACGCTATTCTCTTGTTCCCCCCTTCATCATCCGAGCCACAGGTGCAGCACAGCGTCCGCAGCAGCAGATGGGTTGAGCCGCCTCCTCCCATCCCCCCGCCACCCACGTCGTCCCCTATACCCCCTCTATCCTCCGAGCCGCAGGTGCAGCGCAGTCTAGTGGACATGCGCCCACAGCAGCAGATGGGTGAAGGCACTTCCTCCCGTATCCCACCCTTTCCCCACCTGCCCTACCCTATCCTCACTGTGGTTTGAACCGCAGGTGCAGCACAGTCTAGTGGACATGCGTCCGCAGCAGCAGATGGCTCAGCTCTGTGCTCTTACAGGGGTGCAGCTTATAACGTAAGTGGCTTATAACGAGAGTTGCTTATGAGTGGCTTATAACAAGAGTGGCTTGTAACGTGAGTGGCTTATAATGAGAGTGGCATAACATGGATAGCGTATCACGTGACCTTTCTATGTTCGTTTCTAGTTACCACTGATTAGAATGTTCGGAACAAAACATATTTTCTTCTAGTTGCTTGCTCGCCAAAGGAACCCACCAAAGCACTCATTCGTCTGTATTATCTCCGTGTACTCCACTCTGGAAAATGCAGCTACGGCACTGTAATGGGTGGGCTTCTATCGGAGAAGTATCTGCACGCCAAGGAGCCCAACAGCATGTTTACCACTCTTTGTATCCCCAATATTGATTCTCGTTCACTGCAGCTACGGCACTGTAATGGGTGGGCTTCTATCGGAGAAGTACCTGCACGCCAAGGAGCCCAACAGCATGTTCGGCCCGCGACTCGCCACTCCCTCCCTCAACAAGTACAAGCAGGTGAGGGGGAGGGGGCTTGTGAGCGAGTCAACTCTAAAGGTTAAGCCTCTATCAAAGAGAAGTATCTGATAGACATCTGATAGAAGTTGCTTTATGTACCACATTTTCAGTCTTTCTCCTTCCCTCACTCCCTCTCAACAAGTACAAGCAGGTAGGTGAGAAGGGGAAACGAAGAGGTGTGGGGGAGGTGGGGGAATTGGGGGAAAGGTGAGGGGCTCGTGTGTCACCAGCTAGCACAGACCCATCTGCTGACTTTTGAGTCGACTCAAAAGTCAAAAGTCACCTCGTTTTGAGTCGACTCAAAATCACCTCAGACTTGGGGGAAAGGTGAGGAGTTTGTGTGTCACCAGCTAGCACAGACCCATCTGCTTCACTTCCTTATACCTCCCCATCCCCCTCCACCCCCTCACCATGTGGGGTGGATGGGCACTGTTCCAGGAGCTGCTGAGGGAGTGACAGGCTGTCTCCAGCTTGGACAGCCCCATCTGTTGTACCCTCCATCAATCTCTCCTCCCATCTCTCTCTCTCCTCCCATCAAATGGTGGACGCGTGGGGCGGGTGGGCGCTGTTCCAGGAGCTGCTGAGGGAGTGTGAGACCATGGCGAGAAGACACATTCCCACCAGTCTTCTCTCTCATCCCTGCCCCTGTCCCCACTCTGGCCCTCTCCCCACCGGTTTCTTTCAGATGGTGGATGCGTGGGGTGGATGGGCACTGTTCCAGGAGCTGCTGAGGGAGTGTGAGACCATGGCGAGAAGACACATTCCCACCAGTCTTCTCTCTCATCCCTGCCCCTGTCCCCACTCTGGCCCTCTCCCCACCTGTTTCTTTCAGATGGTGGATGCGTGGGGTGGATGGGCACTGTTCCAGGAGCTGCTGAGGGAGTGTGAGACAGTGGCTAAGAAGCACGGGGTTACCATCGCTGCAGTGGCCGTGCGTTCTATTCTCGACCAGGTAACTGTCTCAAGCATGTGCAACATGCACGTATGCACACACACCGGGTGGCTCTAAAAACACTCATGAAGCACTGTGTTACAATTTTCTGCAGTAGCTGTACACTCCATTGTCTACCATGTTAATGTGGATTCACAAAACTGTACTTGACTTGCAACTGGAGCATAACGAATTCCCGTTCGACCCTGCTCTTATCGCCCCCTCTCCCCCCTTCCTGCCGAAAAACAACAGCCGGCAGTAGCAGTGTCAATGGTGGGTGTGAGGCTGGGCCTGCAGCAACACATCGCGGACAATGAGAAGATCTTGACTCGCAACAGGGATGAACATAATAACCATATTTCTCTCATTGCATCCCTTCCCATCTATTGCCAAAGCAGCCGGCAGTAGCAGCATCAATGGTGGGCGTGCCGCTTGGCCTGCAGCAACACATTGCAGACAACAGGATCTATGGATTGAACTTGACATTATAATGCCTATCTCCCCTGCTCTTATCGCTCCCTCTCCCCCTTCCTGCCAAAGCAGCCAACGGTGGCAGCATCGATGGTGGGTGTGAGGCTGGACTTTGACTTGCAACTAGATTCGACTTATTGATAACCACCTACCACCCTGTTTGCTCTTGTTACCCTCCCTCTTATGCATGCCGAAACAGCCGGCAGTAGCAGCATCAATGGTGGGTGTGAGGCTGGGCCTGCAGCAGCACATCGCAGACAACAAGAAGATAATTGACTTGATATTGGACATAGCAAACCCATCTCCCCTTCCCCCTGCTTGCTATAACAGCCATCGGTAGCAGCATCGATGGTGGGCGTGCGGCTGGGCCTGCAGCAGCACATCGCAGACAACAAGGTGGTCTTTGGTTTGAAATTGGATGATGAGGATCGGGCGAGGATCGCCAGTGTTACCAGCAGAGGCCGGGACCTTCTTGCTGTGATTGGTGACTGCGGGGACGAGTACAGGTAGAGATCTTTTCATCCTATGATAGTATCAAGCAGATCAACTTGTATACAAGAACTATTTTGCGTACATCAAACCGCCAGCGTGAAGAATTTATATCTGAGAAGCTAAACAAGTTCCTCTTCCTTTTGACCGTCTTATTTCCCTTCTGACCATCATGGAGGAGTGCCAAATATTTCACAATAAAAGAAGGCTTATACTATTCATAACCATCCTTATTTCGTCATTCGTATTTGAACGGCAGCGCAATCGCGAATGACGCCCATGAAACTTTAGGGCTGTCTGGGGGCCTGTTCACATTCCACTGCCACACTTCTCGACATTTCTCATACGAGACTTCTCAATACTAAAAGTTTAATTGGTGAAGCTATTTCGGCATTACTTAGCACATGGGTCAGTCCGAACTCAGTGGGAGCGCGTTTCGGTACGATCCCGCAACAAAGAAACAGAATTGTCACAGGGACAGGGTGGGGAGATAAATTGGAGGCTTCAACTCTCTCTCCGGCCTCTCAACGTCTGTTCCTTTGTTGGAGCAAACGTCGGTTTACTACGCTAGTTCGTGTCGCTTCAGGTCGTGAGTTTTAGGAACCCACGTTTCGTTCATTCCGCTCCGCTTACCGCGCTTCCTGTACAGCAGTCAGCCGCTAACTTCAACAAGCCGCCAAAAGTAGTGGTAGATAATCCTTCTGGGATCGTGAGGCTGTTTTTGAGAATTCCAGAAAAAAACGCCCTTCAACGTCCCGTGCAGCAGTCAGTCGCTAATTTCGACAAGCCTGCTGAACGTAGCGGTAGTGAATTCGCTGGGATCATCAGCACCTTTCGCTACTAATTGTCTTGCCTCCTTCACACGTCTTTGAAAAGCAGCTTCCTCGCTCCTGCTCGCTCGCCACAGCGTTGTTCTCTCCGTAGGACGTCCTACCACAACATGTTCCTGCGACGCTCAATGCGAACGATAAACGGACCATCGTCGTCTGTTAGTGCAGCCTCCGGCGCTGTATCGTCCTACCTGCTGCATCGAACGGCTCACATCCGACCGCCGGTTGCTGATGTACCTGCGGCCGTTGATTTGATTCAGCAGCAGCAGCTGCAGCGTCGCGGATTAGCTACTGGATCAGAAGCAGGTAAATCTCATATCTTGCTCTCGAAAACCTAACTTACTTCGATTTCGCGCGAAATGCTCCTGATACCGTCGATATCACTTTTGAGATTTCTCAAAAGTGATTTCACCTTTCCTGATACCGTCCAGCCGTCCGAGCTGCATCGAACGGCTCGCTCTTAGCATCGGCGCGCGCAGCTGCCTGCAGCCGTTGATTCTGGTTCAGCTGTCGCTGCATAGGAAGGGCCGACAAAACCATGGCATGAATGAGCCGTCTTATTTCCCGATTTCGTGATGCCTTTTATTCCGGCATTACAAGCATGTTAGGTGCGAGTCTGCTTATTAGTGCTTTTGTGAGGAAGATTTCATCTCCAGTTCATGCTGCCTGTAGCACGACTCGCTCGTCACTCGCACGTACGTACCGTCATGGCGCTGTCCAATTGTGCATAGGCCGTTATGCAATCAACGCGGCAATGCCCCTTCACTCTCTATCCCTTCGTCCCCCTCACCTCCTCCCCGGCCCTCTCTTCCGCCTTTCCCCTTCTCTCCCCCCCCGCGTCGTCCCATCCCAGCCCCCCTATAAGACTCGCACATCCCCCTCTCCCCTCTCCAACGCGCCGCAGTCGCGGTAGGGGCGTCAGTGGGAGCACAGCACGGCCAACCTTGCCTGGGCAGATATGAAACCCTCATACTATTCCCCAACCCCCTTCATCTCCCCGTCCCTTGCTCCTGTTCCGCCCTCCCAGCCCCCCTATACGACTCGCATATACCCCTCTCCCCTCTCCAACGAGCAGCAGTGGCGGTGGGGGCATCAGTGGGAGCTCTAGCCAACCCTGCACGGGCGGATCTGAAGTCCATGTAAAAATCTCCACCCACTTTCATCTCCCCCTCCCAAGCTCCCCCCTCCTTCTCCCCCTCCCCCGTTCCCCCCTCTTTCTCCACTCGTTCCCTCCGCTTTCCACCCTTCCCAGCTCCCTTATATGATTCGCATATACCACTCTCCCCTCTGCAGCGAGCATCGGTCGCCGTAGGGGCGTCAGTGGGAGCGCGCTGGCCAACCCGGCCTGGGTTTTGATACAACCCCTTGCTCCCCCTACTGTCCCTGCCCACACCGTTACCCTGCTTCCCTCCAGTTCCCCTATACGACTCGCATATACCACTCTCCCCCCTCCAACGAGCAGCAGTGGCTGTGGGGGCATCAGTGGGAGCGCTGGCCAACCCTGCACGGGCGGATTTGGTGGCGGCTGTGGGGGAGACGACTGGGGTGGTGGCGCTGGGGCGAATCACGGAGCAGATGAGGGCGAGTGAAGAGGGCAGGGTGAGTTGTTGCAGTGCATTTCCTGGTATGCACGTGTACATATGTGTATAGATAGAGCGCCGCCAACCCTGCACTGGCAGATCTGGCGGCGGCTGTGGGGGAGACCACTTGGGTGGTGGCGCTGGGGGAATCAGAGGGAAGATGAGGGCGAGTGAGGAGGGCAGGGTGAGTAGTTTTTCAGGTTAACCAGTGTCATCCCGCCAGGGTGTCAGGATGCTGGTGGGGTCATCTCATCTCAACCGCATGCAGTACAGGATGGCTTTTGAGTTGACTCAAAACTCATGATGATGGGGTCATCTCAACAGGAGGAAGGAAAGGCTGCACTTTTTAGTCGATTCGAAAATCGACTAGCCAGCACCATCACACGAGGGTGGTTAGGATGATGATGATGATGCTGCCTAAGTAGGTAATTTTCACGTGCATGCTTTTCGGAGGTATGTATGGCCGCATGTGACTTTTGATTCTTGGCTCAAAAGTCACCTGGGTTGCGTTTCTGGTTGGCCCCATTCAATATAGTAATTCATGTTTGGGGGATACGCATCATCTGTACCAGGAAGGTATTCGCGTGACAAATGCCACATTGGAAGCTAAGCTAGAGAGCAGTGCAGCAGCGGGAGGAACGTTTACTGTACCATAGACTCATTTCACTCACTCTCCTTCTCTGCATGTAGCTTTATTTATGCCAGGCAATACTGGCAGAGAGGCCGCGGGTGACAGGTGCTACGTTGGAGGCAGCAGAGCAGTGCGGCAGAGGCACAGCAGCCTATGCTCATTGCATGCGCTCCCCTTACCCCCATGTCCACGCATCCACCAGTAACACCATGCAATACTGGAGAAGAAACCACACTGTAGGCAGCAGAGCAGTGCGGCAGAGGGACATTCGGAGCGGCCTATACTCATTTCGGTTGCTCCCCTTATCCATATCTAAACACCTTCTCGCCACCACCAGGCCATTCTAGAGGAGAAGCCTCGTGTGGCAGACGCCACACTGCAGGCAGCAGAGCAGTGCGGCAGAGGCACCTTCGGAGCAGCATATGCGCACTTCATGCGCTCTCGTCGTTTCGAGCCCCACGAACGGCCGCCTGTGCGCTTCGTTGATGACCCAGAGCTGGCCTATGTGGCCACACGGTGAGTCTAATTGGGTTAAGGTGTGAGTACATGCACGCAGTGCATGGCTAGGCGAGACCTTCAGAGCGGCCTATGTGGGCTCACGGAGAGTCAAGAGTCGAATTGAGCACGCTTGAGCAGTGTAAGGCTATGTGGGACCTTCAATGCAGCCTACGGTCACTTCATGCGCTCTCGCCGTTTTGAGCCCCACGAACGTCCGCCCGTGCGCTTCATTGATGACCCGGAGCTGGCCTATGTGGCCACACGGTGAGTCGGTGTGGGGAGTATGAATAGGGCTTGTTGGGACCTTTTGGTTTGGATTAGCCTACACTCACTTCATGTGCTCTCGCAGCTTTCTGCCCCATGAACGGCCCCCTGTGCGATTCATTGATGACCCTGAGCTGGCCTATGTGGCCACACGGTGAGTCAAGAGCATGGAATGTGAGAGTTGAAGGGAGCATAAGGGTTGGCGGTTGGTGATTCATGATACACCACCTGTGCACTTTATTGTGCACCCCCAACTGACCTTTTTTCCCAGCCCGGCCTGCCTATGTGCCTCCCCTCGCTCTTTCACTCCCCTCTATCCCTCTCTGATCCCTTCTCTTTCCTCCGGGTTAAGGGAGGTGCACGACTTTTGGGACACCATTTTCGCCCTCCCCACCACCCTCTTGTAGAGAGGGTATTTTTGAGACGTCTCAAAATTCACCTCTCTACATTTGGGACACCATATTCGCCGTCCCCACCACCCTCTTGGGCCAGTTAGCTCTGAAGCTCATCCGATTTACTCGAAGGGACATGTGCCTCCATTCTCCCCCTCCCCTCCATCCCTCTCTTCTCCCTTCTCTCCTTCCCGCAACCCCAGACTAAGAGAAGTGCACGACTCGTGGCACACCATATTCGCCCTCCCCACCACCGTATCCGGCAAGCTAGCCCTAAAGCTCATAGAATTCACCCAAACCGCCCTCCCCATGTGCCTCCACTCTTCCCCTCCTTCCATCCCTCTCTTCCCTTCCCTCTCCTCCAGGTTACGAGAAGTGCACGACTTTTGGCACACCATATTCGCCCTCCCAACCACCGTCTCAGGAGAACTAGCCCTAAAGCTCATCGAGTTCACCCAAACGGGCCTCCCCATGTGCCTGCTCGCCTCCCTAGGCGCACCCATCCGCCTCTCCCCCGCCCGTCGCTCCCTCCTCCTCTCCTCCATCTACCCCTGGGCCCTGGGCGCTGGTATCAGAGCGGTGCCACTAGCGGGGATTTATTACGAGAGAAGGTTTGGGGAGGACCTGAGTGATTTGAGACTGGAGTGGAAAATCGCTGCTGCTCCACCGCGGTTCTTTGAAAGGAAAGGTGCTGCTGCGAGCTAGTCTTCCTCCTCTCTTCCATCTACCGCTGGCCGCTGCTCCTGTTAACGGTGGTGATTGTTCTGAAGGAGATACGTATACAGTACAGTGTAGTGCTGCTGCTGTGTACAGTAGTGACATAAAAGTTTTCTACTCCAACAGCACTAGTGGCCTGCCTATGTATCTAAACAACAGTATGGTACTCAATGAGGTCGGTTCGGTTGCCCTGGTACCGTATTTGCTGCACTGTCCCATCCATGAGGCATTGCCCTAGACCAGGCGCCAACCCAACCACACTTTGAGTGCATGACATCCCACCCCACCCACACTCATCGCCGCAGGTGCCAAGGTTGAGTCTGAGGTGTAGGGTTTGCCGGCTCAAAACATACGGTAGGTGCAATAAGTAAGTGAATGTTGCCAGCTTAGGTTGACACAAGGCGAATGGCAAAGGTCTTGGGTCCCACCTCCTCTGTGATGAGACGGAAAGAGGGGAAGCGGGGAGAGAGCGAGGTGAGGAGGAGTGGTGGTTGCACAACTGTCACCACATGCCAGACACCATTACAGACCGAGTCTTTCCACCCTTTTGTTGACACCAGGCGCACAGCAAAGGTCTTGGGTCCCACCTCCTCTGTAATGCGAAGGAGGGAGGGAGCGGGAGGAAAAGGGAAGCCGGGGGGGAGGGGGGCGTGGGGGAGGGGGGAGGGAAGGGGGAGGGAAGGGGGAGGGAAGGGGGAGGGAAGGGGGAGGAAGGAGAAGGGGGGGGGAGGAAGTTTTGGGAAAAAGAGGGGATGGGGAAGATTTGGAGGTAAGGGAGTGGCAGGAAACAGTGATTGTGAAGCTGAAGCGGAGTGCAACAAAACTATGTTATTTGGCACTGACAATTCGCTCCCAGGTGGGCTTGAACCACCGACCTTATGGTTAACAGCCATACGCTCTAACCAACTGAGCTACGAGAGCTGTTCCGAGCTCAAAAACAAGCTTTCTAGTCAATCATTCTCCACTTTGGAGCTAGGAGGACAGGATCATTGCGGACCGCCTTCGGGGCCGCATGAGCAATAAGAGGAGAACAGACGAACAGAGCAAATTAACAATTATATAGAGGAGATTGTAGAAACCGAGCTGGGGAGGAAGGGACCAAATACATGCTAAGGGGATACAACATATCAACAGACATAGGGCAACATTGAATTGAAAGCGGACATGGAGGAAATGCTAGCCTGTGAGCAAGTGGAGATGGATCATGGAAAGGTCGGAAGCAGCAGATGAGCCAGAGGATCCTTCCTGAGCAGTGAGGATGGTAAAAGCACCATGGTGAAAGCACAAGAGCAGAGAAGGTGCACACGAGCATAGGGATACACATGGGCAGGGGGAGGTGACGGGTGAGGGGGAGAAGGGGTAGGGGTAGGGGGAGGGGGAGGGGGAGGGGAGGAGAGGAGAAAGCATGCAAATGGAAGTGTAATGGAGAGGAAAGGGCAATTGAAGGGCATGGAAGGAAAGCAGATACTAGTGGGTCAATGGAATACAGTATGAATCCGTCCAGTTTACAGTTGGACTTCATGGACTAATATGCCAATTGATCTTGCTGTGTTTGCAAGAATGGTTCAATACAGCTAGAGTGTGGAGGAGAGAGGATTGGTTTCAGCTACAGTGGCGCCACAACGACTGAGACTTCAATCACTGATGCTGCATTTGGATGAGTGGATAGATCCTATTGGACTGTGGAGGCGGAACAGGGACTGGAAAGCTTCTTGACTGGATTCATCGATGCTGATTTTGCCACTTCAATACGGGTAGCAGAGGGGCAAGGAGTGCAGGTGGAGTGTGGTGGCGGTAAAGAGAATGAAAAGCTGGATGATGAGCCTAGTGAAAGAGTGTGAAGGGTGTGTGAAGGAGAGTGTGAAAGGATGGTGGAGAAGAGAGTGCGAAAGGGTTGTGGGCGAGAGTTTGAAGGGATGGTGGTGGAGTGTGAAGGGGTGGTGGTGGAGTGTGAAGGGCCCGTGAAGGAGAGTGAAGGGATGGTTGAGGAGAGTGCACAGGTTGAATCAAAGGTGATGTCTTGCAATAGGATGAGAAGTGGTGAAATGGTAATGCAATGCATGGGATGCTGGGAAAATTGTTTTTGTTATGTCAATACACCACTGAAACATGTTTTTTCTAAGGAGCATGTATATGATGTTGAGCGCTGAAGCGATCTGTGCTTGGTCGCGAGTGTAGCACAAGCCATTCATCAGTTCCCCCTTCTCATAAATCATGTCCTACTCAGTGCGAGCCCCAAATTTATACCTTCTTTTTACAGAGAGAATGTACCTTTACAAATATATACGAGGCAACAATTGACTCTCGCGCAGCAGGCCAGCGAGGGGAGCCTTTTTCCCTCTCTGTCGTCGGCAGGGCACCAGGGCCCTTGCTAAGGATTCATAAAATAATAATCTACGTCAAAATACACTAGAACGGGCAGGAATTGTTTTGTTACATGCATGTAAACTGTGGAGAGTCACTCTACACCGGGAGCTGGACTACGGGGAAGGCATGGGTTCTAGGAGTGATCGTAGCATTCCTTAGCGTTCTCTAGCACTTTAGCGTTCACATCAATTTGGCAAGAGCTTCACTAGGGAAAGTTGCATTACAGATTGATTGAACAAGCAATGGCAAGAATGACTACATCAAAGCCTAGCAACCTAGCAGACAGGCAGATCGCCTTCGCCATTGAAGCCTCGACGAGCCTCGCGTGCCTCCACGGGACCTCCTCGAGGTTACCTGGTCGACCCGGTCGACCACCCAGTGCCCTGGTCGACGACCTCCCTCGTCGACCACTGCTCCCGTCGAAGACCACCCTGGTCAACGGACCCCTCCGTCGACCAGTTTGGTAAGCTGCTGCTGTCAAACTCCCACCGTTGACAACCTCTTCGACAGTCCTGCACAGGTCGTCGATCGCCCTCGTCGACCACGCCCAAGGCAGGTCGTTGAACCCCTTCGTCGACCACGCCAGTCGAAATCTGTCGCCATCTTCCCGTCGTCAGCGGCTACGTAACAGTTTTCTGCAAGTAGACCATCTCCGTCGACCTGCACGCGTCGACCTCTGCAAATGGTCGGCCGCACCTCCTGCGCACCCGACCACTACGTCGGCTTCGCCCAAGCGAGGGCGGGGCCAACACCCTATTCCTGTCAACATAAAGAAATCAATGAAAGAAAGTGGATGTTGACATTTTGTTTAGATATCTTGATGAATCTAGCAAAACACAGGTATGAGGAGTTGGCCGGGGTAAGATTTTACTACCGTGGAAAGCTCGACAACTGTTAAACTGAAGTTGAGAGGTAATCTTAAAGCGGAAAGGGTCGGTATAAGGAGGGTAGGTGGAGTGGTGTGTGGTTGAGGGTGGAGAAAAATGTTGGAGTTCGAAATTTGAGTGAGATTGGAAGTATTTAATGGGTTTGACACCACGGGAACAACTTTCGGCATCACAAAGTATTGTGATTCTTTTTACATATTTTGTACATGCTCAAGCGAATACACCTGATACCTGCCACCCTCTCATGCGCATCTGCCAGCATAGCCAAACGCATTGCTCTAGCCAATCCTTTCCACCATTATTTGCCTCTTCTCATCTTTTCACTATCCTCCGATACTTGCATCTTAATCAGCTTTGCATTCCAAATCGATGGGTGCAACTAGTTACTTATGCAGCCCATCACTCACCCACGAGTGCAGCTCACGGTTGCAATACATCACTTCTACTTCAACCCTTTCACAGCCATCCACTCTCCATGCAAACTCATCCATACACTATGCAGACTCATCCATATGTTATACACAATAATCTATACGCCATGCACACTCATCAATACGCCATGGACGCTCATCCACATGCCCTTCACATGTATGCACATTAATCTCATCCTCATCAAACTCCCCTCCCCTTTCCATCTCCGTTTTCCCTTTATCCCTGCTCCTTGTTCTTCCCCTCGAGTGCTGCCTTGTGCCTTCCACTCCCCTCCCCTCATCCTCACCCTCTCCAGTCATATGCATACCGCCATTCCTCCCTCCTTCCTCTTCATCTGCCTCAACCCCCACATAAACCCCACCTCATCCTCCCCCATCTCCCTCTTCTTCACTCATTCCCCCCCCTTAGACCCCATCAAGTCATCTTCTGCCCCATTCCGCCAATTCTCATACTCATCCGGAAAATTTATCAACGTTCTGGGCCCACGCATTTTCACTGCTGCCCGATCGTATGCCCGGGCAGCCTCTTCCGGGCAGGTGAACGTTCCGAGCCAAACGCGGGATTTTTTACTCGGAACTCGGATCTCCGCCACCCACTTCCCATAGAGCCGCTGCCGCACACCTCGGTACCTGTTTTTATACTTCTTTGTTCGCTTGCCGACCACCAGTGTCGATGGAAAAGAAGGGGCTGAATCGACACGTTTTGGTTGACTTGAGAAAGCATCAACAGGTGCATCTTTGCTTCTGGCTTCACCACCATCAGACGGGATTTGCATGGTTGCAGCAGCGTCTCTTGTGGTAGGCACAGGTGCTGCCAGAGCAGTGGTAGCTGTTTCTGCTGTTTTCTGCCTTGCTCTGCTGCTTGAGACTTCTCTGCAGTAGCCACTACTATGCCCACTCCCACTGCTTCCCCCAGAATTACCCTCACTATTCTCCCCACCATTTCGACCACCATACTCCCCACCACCACTCCCACTGCCACCATCCCTCCTCGCTGCCGAATCTCCATCCAATTCCTCCCTTGCACCTGTTGCCCCCTGGACTATCCCCACTGACAGACATTTCCTTTTTACCTCATATTCCTCTTCTTTTTCCTCCTCATCCTCCTCTTTCTCCTCCTCCCTCCCTCTCTTATTACCCCTCTCGTCCTTGTTTCTTCTCCAAAGCTCTCCCACTTGACCATTCGGCCTTGAATACTCTACAGGTCTCCCCTCTCCCCTGCTTACTGCATCTCTTATCCCCTGCCTTCTGACCCGCCTTCCCTCCTCGTTTCCAAAAACTTCTCCTGCGAAGCAAACAGTGCCAGCAGCAGCACCAGAAGCACCAGAAGCACCAGAAGCAGCACCAGCAGCAGCCCCAGCAGCAGTCCCAGCAGCAGTACCAGCATCAGCACCAGCAGCAGCAGCAGCAGCAGCAGCAGCAGGAGCAGCAGGAGCAAAAGCGGTAGCGTCTGGAGCAGCACCTGGAGTTAAACCAGCAACGGAAGGATTAACAGTAGAAGCACAAGCGGCAGCGGTCACAGGAGGAGCAGAAGCAGGAGCATGCACACTTGATGCAACTGCTGTCGGCAGATGAGCATGTGAGCATGCAGGCATGAGGGAATGTGAGGGCACGAGAGCAAGAGCATTCATGGAAGCAGCGGGAGGGGTGCCCGGTTGCATGCGGAAATGTGCTGCTCCAGTCCTGAATCCACTTCTGGTTACCCTTTCTGCTAGTATCTCAGCAGAACCACGCTCTACCCCTCTTAACCCTCCTCCCAAACTAACTTCTCCCCCTCCTCCGTTGACCCCTCCTTCGGACATAACCTCTTCTCCTCGTCTTCCACATCTCCCTGACTCGCCTATGCAGCCTCCCTCCCTCCGTACAGCTTCAAACCGCTCAAGACCCACCCGCATCTCACATGTCTCAGGCTCAGCTTTAGTTACCCCCCGCAGGGGTATCTCCACTGGCTGATCAGCCTCTGAGTTCTTAGCTGCCTCAAAACCCGCTACCGCATTTACTCTCATACGATGATTTTCCGCCTGTTTGTCAACCGTAGTAGTATAAAAAGCTGCTGGTGAGGCAGAAGAAACAGCACCAGGGGCAGCAGGATTGACAGTGGCAGCAGCAACAGCAGCACCAGCAGGAGCAGGAAAACCATCAGCAGCAGCAGCAGCAGTAGCAGCAGTAGGAGCCGGAGCTGGAGCAGGAGAACGAGCAGCAGCAGCAGGAGCCGGAGCCGGAGCAGGAGCCGGAGCAGGAGCAGGAGCCAGGAGCAGGAGCAGGAGCAGGAGCAGGAGCAGGAGCAGGAGCAGGAGCAGGAGCAGGAGCAGGAGAACGAGCAGCAGCAGCAGGAGCAGGAGGACGAGAAGCAGCCGGAGGAGACAGAGACAGAGATAGGCAAAGGTCCAGGTCTTCCTGGTGAACGTTCATGCTTTCACGCTCGAGGGACCAATGTTTCACAGCACCACATGCTTCTCTCATGACTCCCTGGGAGGGTCCCACCGCTGCGAAAGGGCCACGTCCACCCTCGCCTGCTGCAGCAGTAGCCAAGCTTGCTCCAGGGCATGTCTGAGCAGTAGCCAAGCTTGCTCCAAGCTGGCATGAGTTCTGAACCCTTGGAGTGCAGACAGGTCTTGAATCTGGAGTGGAAGAGTACTGGGAATGGACGTGACCTGACGTGCTGAGGGCGTTGCTTCCGCCTTGTGCTTCTCCTCTTGCAATCCTCGTGAATCCAGCCCCACCCTCCCCCGAATCTGCAGGGAGTTGAAGTTCTCCAATTCGTTTGATTCCTCCTGCTCCTCCTATTCCTCCTACCCCTCCTCTCCCTCCCCTCCCTCCTCCAGCATCCCTTTCATGCACACTTCCATTTTCTGTGTTTCTCTCCACCACCCCACCCCCTCTCAACAACCCACCAACTGACTCCTCTCCGCATCCTTCCCCTGATCCACGCCCCAATATCCTCAGAAAAGCAGCCAGATTCGGCAATGCAGGAGCGTCTACCCTGTCAGAACCGTCTGAGCCTGACCCAGCCATCCCTTTGCTCACAAGTTGTGGTCCCGGAGCAGGCAAGGCAGCTGCTGCTCCTGCACCAGAGCGTGTTGCTCTTGTTGCGCTTGCATGACCTCCCTGACGCACGCCAGTACTTGGCAATTTATTGCTCCCTGAGGCTTCTGAGGCTGCTGCGGCTGTGATTACTATGATTGCAGCTGTAATCATTTGCTGCTGACGTTGTTGCTGCAATTGCTGCTGCCGCTGTTGTTGCTCCTGTTGTTGCACCTGTTTTTGCTGCTGCCGCAACTCTTGTTGATGCTTCTGTCCCTCCCCATGCACCGGATGCTGCTGCTGCAGCTGCCGCAGTTGATGTCGTGGTTGTTGTTGCTCCTGCTGCTGCGTCTTGTGCTGCTGTTGCTGAGGTTCCTGCTGCTGATTATGCTGCTGCTGCTGCTGCTGCTGCTGCTGCTGCTGCTGCTGCTGCTGCTGCTGCTGCTGCTGCTGCTGCTGCTGCTGCTCCTGCTCCTGCTCCTGCTTCTGCTTCTGCTGCCGCCGCCGCCTTCGACGCTGCAGCTGCATGTGCCACGAAACCAAAGCAGAAAACTCCTCATCAAGTCCAGCACGTGCAGTGAAAATTTCACGAAACGCCGGTCTTAGCGATTGAGTGTGAGAGGATTGGGAAGGCAGCAGTGTTGAGTCAGACACTGGTGAAGAAGCAGAAGAAAGGTGGCCGCCAGGAACTTGCCGTGGGGATGCGAAAGGTCGGGGAAGAAAGGTTGGGATGGGTGCCGAGAATCGGTTGTGAGATGAGGTATCCAGTGGGGATGAATCAGGCGCTGGGCATGGAGCAGCAGGGTCTAACGATCCGTGCAGTGTATTTCGTTGTGCCAAACGTCCCACGGAGAGTTGAGGTGAAGAAGCATGCAGCAATGAAAAAGGCTGTGGGGATGAAACAGGGGGTGTAGCAGCAGGTGGGGTGACAACTCCAGGGTGTGGACAGTTTGTTGCAGGCTGTTGTGCTGCTGGCCTTTCAGAAAGCCCATTTGCAGCTATCGGCAGGCTGGTTCCGGCTCGTTCTATGGCTGCTGAGGAGGCTGTAGGAAAGGTTGGAAGATTTCTTGGAGTGTGCAGCTGTCCGACTGACGCCTGTTGCTGCTGTTGCTTTTGCTGCTGCTGCTGATGGTTCTGGTGTTGCTGATACTGCTGCTGCTGCTGCTGCTGCTGCTGCTGCTGCTGCTGCTGCTGCTGCTGCTGCTGCTGCTGCTGCTGCTGCTGCTGCTGCTGCTGCCGCTGCTGCCGCCACTGTAGATATCCCAAAAGTTCAATCATAGCCTCTTGACTCGGAGTCATTAGCGCATTAGTGCCAGGCATGGCCAAGGAGGCATTAGTAGTAGCGCCACTGATGTCACCAAACATCCCTCGGGGCCCGCGCTTCTTTGGCAGAAGAAATGCTTCGACGCCGGCCAGGCATGCAGACGCCACTGCCGCGCAAGGCCTGCATTGACTTTCTGCGGTCAGCTGGGTTCAAGGTCCCCCCAAAAGGCGGAGTAAGCAACGGAACTAAACGGTCCGAAGCTTTTCGCCAGCCTGAGCAAAGGCGATTCAAGGTGAGGAAAACGAATGTTTTTTTGTCAACGCCAGATAATGTTCTTGAGTCGGCGTGGGCCGCGTTCCAACTGAGTCAGCTAACGCCTCGTGAAGATAGCGCGAGAAGCTAGCAGTGTGCTCATGCAAAGTTGGACGAGTGCTCTGGATTCAGCTGCTGCTGAAGATCTTGCTTCTGAAGATTCGCGGGTGGCCCTCAGTCGCGGAAAAGGAAAAGCGCTAGAATTGCCTCTGTAACGTCGGAATCAACGGATCAGTAGCTTCAAAGTCCTGTCGTGGTTCGTTTGGTCATGGAATAGCCTTATAGACTGACGGTGATCGGTGTTTGGAGATGGAAAATACTGAGTGATAGCACAAATGTTCGAGTTCATAACAGGGCGCTGGAGGCAGTCACACATTTTCGTGAAGGGAATTTTGACGCGGTTTGATATGGTCAACACGCGGCTCTTTCACCGCTTTCGACCATTGCGCACCAGGATGAACCTTCTTAAACAAACCCAAAACAAAAATGTATGACCCGCCCGAGATGAGATGAGTGGCAAATGGGCTGACTACCCCACCCACGAGATGCATGTGACTCCAGAAGGATGATGTCAACGCCGTTGAACGTAACGTTGAAGAGAGTCAAAAATGAGCAGTAACGGCAACCCATCAGGGAACAGCATTTGTTCGTTAGACTTCGCCTTGCGGTACAGCATAACACACGTCAGTACGGTAACACCTGTCGTAGGCTAGGAACAGGTCAAAAAAGGTTGACGAGCGGACTAGACCAGGATTATGGTCAAAGGTGACTTGTCGTGCCAAACCTCAGGTCTGGAGACACAGCCCTTCACCTCTGGTCTTCCGAACCCAAAGCTTGTTTAGGTCAACGATCGACTGTGCTACGTTTGGGCCAAAACGATAGGCGACCAATCGCGAGACGCTGCGATCTCCCTGGGAGAACTTGCGAATCCTCCGCATAGGTGAACAAGTACAGCACACGTCCGTGCTGACACGACGACGGGATTGCACGATTGTGGTGTGGACGGGGTTCCCAGCTGTTCGAATTTCCCAGGTTTGGATGCATCGTTGACCAAAGCTTCTGGCCTTCCAACTGGTCATATGGCACAATGACTAGCTCAGTTTCGTCAACGTTTGCTGGGGTGCTTTTCGTGTGGGTGGCGCGGCGCCCCCAAATGGCCGGGTAGAGGCCGGGTTAAAGCTACCTCCTTTGCAGTGTACACTTTCTTTCTACTCTGTTAGGAGTGTAAGTTTCCTCGGGGTTCACTAATTGGGACAATATACCATAAGTAACCAACTTGGGGCTCGATAACGTGAATGGTAAAAACAAAACGCGTACGGTCACTGTATCGGGTTTTTTGACGAGTTTGGTAAGTGGGGTCACGGATTCAGTCACTAACAACAGGTAAAAAATCACGCGAATGGTCACGCATGTAACTCCCGCCAAAAAAACTTGAAACTAAACAAATTTCCTGCTCGCGCCAAACCAATCTGCGAACTTCTAAAAAAAACTAAAACCCAATCAGAATCGAATGCGGTTTGGGAACGGATCAACCCTAAACACCTGGCGAGTTACGTGTTTAGGGTTGATTCATCCGAAAATGCATCCAGGCACTTTTGGGGTTTCATTTGGTTTTGGCAAGAGTTTCATCTATGACCATTCGCGCTTTTTTTTTTTACCAGTTGATAGTGACTGCTTACGTGAAACGTTTTATCAGTCGCGTGAAAACACCCTTTGAAGTGACCGTACCCTTCTTTTTTTTTACCAAATATGTTATCGAGTCCCATGATGGTTACGAATGGCATATTTTCCCTCACTACTTCGTGTACAAATTACATTCTTGAATGTTCAGATTCCCTATCACAACAAGCTATATTGGTTAGTCCTTGTACAGTTAGTGTTACGATAAGGAACTAACTTGAGCACTCTTGTACGAAACAGCAGCAAACACTACCGAGGACAAAGACCAAGGTCAAAATTTTTGGAATGTAAGGCTTTTATTACAAGACTGCATTCATGTAAGGACATGTTTATTAATATATGCGTCACAGTCGAAGGTACCAGGGCTGTTTTTATCATGGTAATTACACTGATTTCAGGGTGATTACAGGCTTTCCACTGTGTGGAGACTGAAATTTCAGAATTAATGAGGTCTCAACCCTGATCCAATCGGAGTAATAGATTTCCTATCACTGATTTTGAGTATAGTGTAACAGAATAGCCTGTTAGTGGACCCTGACTTAACAAAGTATCGAGCCTGTGGTTTCTAAATTTGACCTTATTGGGAAGAAGTTTCTTCGAAAGTTCCTTCCGATAACCCCGCCTCCGGATTGATCGCAGTATATGCGGAGAATCACTCTACAACGGTAGTGAGCTAGACTCTAGGGATAGGCACAAACGACTAAGAGTGATCGTAGCTTTGCTTAGTTCCTTAGTGCTTGCGCATTCACGGGAGAAATTAGCAAGAGTTTCCACTAGGCAAAGTCGGAATTACAGAATGATTGAACAAGCAATGACAAGAATGACTACATCTGACACCTAGCAACTCTGCAGCTAGCCTGATCGACCGACAGCACTGCTTGGTCGACCGCCTGCCAGCATTGCGTAGAGGAGCCGCGCCAGCACTGCGGAAAGGCGACCTGCCAACAGAGCAGGTCGACGGTGTGCCAACGTTGCAGTAGAGCGGCTGTCCAGCGTTGCCCCGTAGAACACAGCAGTGCGCACGCTCGCAGGTGCGAGCAGACGATTGGCCCGAATTGCCTTTTTGGGCATCCGTCGGCTGTTGTCTGCGCCTGACGAGCCACATCGACTTCAAGATACCAGCCCACGGTCGCATTCGCCATCGCGACCTCGACGACGTTCGCGTGCCTCCGCAGAACTCGTCGAGCAGGTTACCCGGTCGACCTGGTCGACCCCCAAGTGCTCTGGTCGACCCCCAGGTGTCTCCGGTCGACCCCCAGGTGCTCTGGTCGACCACCAGGTGCCTCTGGTCGACCACAACTCGCGTCGAGCTATCCCCTGGTCGACGGGCCCCTTCCGTCGACCAGAACCATCAGCGGTTGTCGCCGAGCTCCCCTCGTCGACCGCTGCTCACTTGTCAGGTCGACGGACTGCTCCGTCGACCTCCCGGTCGAGCTGCAGGTTGACGAAGACCTCCCGGTCGAGCTGTAGGTCAACGCAGACCTCCCGGTCGAGCTGCAGGTCGACGGACTGCTCCGTCGACCTCCCGGTCGAACTGCCCGTCCTGGTCGACGACCCAGTTCCGTCGCCCAGACCAATCAGTTGCAGCTCTCGAGCTCCCTGGTCAACAGCAACACCACAGCGGTCCCCGGCAGCTCGACAAAGCCTGTCAAGCAGCTCTCCTACTGTGAATGGTCGGCTGCTACTCCCGTACACCCGACCAAGTCGTCGGCGTTGCCCAAGCGAGGGCGGGGCCAACAGTCCGCTCTTGTTAACAGTATAGCCAGCGCGTGAGCGACCCCGAATAACATTATCGAAACGAAGTTTCATCAACATTTCCTCCCAACACACTTACCATCAGATTGTACTGCGAGTTTCCAGGAAACTTTGTACGAGAACCCCCATGTGTGTAGCCCCCGCTTTATTGGGACGAAATTTCTTCGAAGTTTCTTTTCAATACACCTACCATCGAGGTTCAGTTTCGATAATGCACAGTGCGTTACTACTCTGATACTGAATTGTTGACCCTGAACAATCAGACTATATAACTTTCCAACACTGAGCAATCACGGTGCTGTTTTTTCTGAAAAATATGCCTTAACGGTAAGAACAAAAAAAATCACGTGAAAATCAGGGTACCTAAATTTGAAACGTCAGCCCTAGAAGGTACCGCTCTGTACTAAACTTTTATTGACAATGCTTAATACTTGGGTGTTATCTGGTACAGAGTGGTACCTTCATTTGTGACATCTAAATTAAAGACATGTACTCGCGTGAATACACCTTAACTGCCAAAGTAAAATCAGCGAAATGGGTTCACTCACAAGGGGAGCAATACAAATACTAACCCTAGAAATTGGCTATACTCCCTTCAATGTTACTCACTGCAGTTTAGCAAGCTAATATAACATTTGACACTAAGCTACACTACTCGTAGTGTAGTAGTGAGGCACGTACTCGAAGTGCGGTATGTCAATAAGATTTGTTCTTTTGTTGATAGCATTCTCGTGATGTGTGCTGACTTGATGCGCCAGCTGTCACATGTTGTTTATGCGTTTGCTATACTACTAGGCTACAGTGAGGTTCAAAGTACAGGGTACATGTTTCTCTCGACACTTTACTTATGCTACCCCTTCCCCTACTAGTCGACATCAATTCCACTATGATATGATACCATCTCTGATACCTTCTCCTACCGCGTACGGTCCTACAGTTCCGCCTCCGGACTTGGCTTCGGCTGTTTTCTCTGCTCCTCGGTCACAGTTGCCTCCTCATGTTGTCCCGCACGACTGGACCACTCGTCCTCCGCGTGCTCATCCCTCGTCTCCTTTTGACGACCTCCGCACTATTTTGTTTCGTTCTAGTCCGCGTCGTTCTTCGACAGTATCTGTTCTCCCACTGTCAGAGTTATATGACATAGCTACTGTAGGCTATAGTGGGGTAGCACATATGGGGTACAGTTGCCTAGGGTTTGCCTTTTGTACCCAACTTTCACTTAGTCATTTCATTCCTGTTTTCTTGATTCACATGGTATAGAGCGGGT